CTCTCCTTGGGTTCTTGTACTCCCATGCCTACTGGACACTCATAGGCATCTTAAACATCTCACCTTAAAATCTGCTAACCTGATCTCTCTCCCAAACATCTTTTTGTCTTCAACCTTCCACACCTCAGTTAGTGGGACATCCAGTGGCCTGGTTGTTTGAGTATGAAATTTGAGACTGGTCATTGACGTCCCATCTCCTGCACACTCATGCCATCCACTCAGAGCTACTGCTTCCTCCTCCAAAATATATCTCAGGTCTGTCCTCTTCTCATCCTCTCTCCACCAAGCACCGTAGTTCAAATCCCATTGTCTTTCATCTAAACCCTTGAACAGCTTCTTCACTGCTCTCATCTCTTCTACTTTTGTCCTCTCCAATCTGTTCTCTAACATCATCCAGAAAAATTTTCTTTAGCTAGAAGGTGAATCATGTTACTTTCCTGCTCCATGACAGACTGTCTCTGTCCATGACACTGCCTGCAAAACCCTGCATGAGCTGGCCACATCTCTGCCCACCTCTTCAATATTCTCCTTCCCACTCCAGCCATAGTTGAATTGTATCTCCCAAAACAATATATCCAACTCTTAGCCCCCTATATATAGGAATATGATCTTAATTGAACAGGGTCTTTGTATATTTGATTAAATTAAAGAACTCAAGAACATCCTGACCTGGGTGGGGGGCAGAGGCTAAATCCAATGACTGGCTTCTTTATGTGACAAGGGAGAGTGAGACTTCACAGAGATGCAAGGGCAATGACCTGTGAAGATGGAGGTAGAGACTGGAATGATTCATCTGCAAGGCAAGGAAGTTTAGAACCAACAGAGGCTGAAAAAGGCAAGCAAGGATTCTCCCTAAAGACCTCAGAGAAAGACTGTTTCGATTTCAGAATCCTGACCCTTGGAACAGTGAGAGAATACATTTGTTCTGCTTTAAGGCACAAAGTGTGTGGTGTGTGGTATAGCAGTCCTAAAAGCCTAATAATCTCTCTAAGCTCCAATATATTGATTTTTTGATTATTCAAAAAAGTTAAGCTTATTTTCTCATGACTTCTTATATAGATTTGTACCACCAGGAATGAAAGCCAGAATCTTGATACAAATGTCACATTTTCAATGAGACTTCCAAAAATCTAATCTAAATTGGGTCCTCCCTCCTATACTCAGAGACCTTCCATGTAGCATTTACAAGAGTGCATAATATATTTTGTACATGTTGACTGTTTGGCCTTCCTTTATACTCCAGGCTCGATGTCTGCATCTATGTGTCCCTTTTATAACCTCTACCCTTGGCAGCTCTTCCTGCCCACTTGTGTCTATGCAAGTGTCTTTTGCTATCCTATCCCTTTTCTAATAAACCTGCTCTTTAAATATCAAAAAAATAGTAATAATAACCTCTACCCTTGAGAGTAGAAACTAAAAATAGTTCTTCAATAAATGAAACTACAGAGATAAACTACTTCTTCTTTTGTTAGTAATTTGAGAAAAGACTTGTCTTCCGTGTTAGCTGAAATCAACCACATTGAAATTAAATTTTAACCAAATATTGACTAAATGAATTATAGTGCATAGATATAGAATGAATCCAATTAAATCAATATAAAATTTGAAACAAAAAATACCATTACAAAGGAAAATACTTCCTCTTTGATATTTGATCTGCTGGAGAGCAAGGCTGATTCTTTGCTTGCACCAACTACCATGTGAATTGCTTGAGATGGCCGATATATGCAATTGAAAATCTTGCCAGGGAACACCATGCAAATCCAATCCTCAGCACATGTAACTTTCCTTCAATGTGCCTGAAGCTAGGATCCTTAATATATTTAATCTCTTCACATTTCCTCTCAGCCCATAAACATGTCTAGGAGGCTACAGTGTCTCCTAGCACCTGGTACACAGACTAATACACATGCCAATCTACAAATAAAACTTAATAATAGCAGCATGTCTTGGGCAGGTGAAATATGAATCAGGATACAAAGAGATAAAAGAAAAATGTCACAATCTTTTATTTCAAAGGGAAATTCCATGAACATTTTGGCGTGAGTTCAAAGCCAAAGAAGAATACTAACTATTATAGATCTTGTAAATGTACCCATTCGAAATCCGGCATCTAGTGTCTCTTTCCTTTACTCAGTAGTTTCGTTTATCCACTTTTTGATTCAACCAGTTCTCATCAAGTGTCTGCTAGGTACTGCACCTTGTGCAATATCATAAGGATACTGGACTAGGAGACACACAGTCCCTGCCCCCCTGGGCCCAAAGTCTGCAAAGGGAGCCAATGTATGAGCAATTATGAAGGGACATGGAAAGTGCCACAGGAGGAACAATCAGAAGCAACCAGGAAATGGATTTTGGTGAGAACAGTCATGCATTACCCGAAGATGTTGGAGTCCTTAAGGCCATATAGGAGATGTTCCCAGTAGGCTGTGCTATAGCTTCGGCAGGTGAACCATACTGCCTAAATTTGTATGATTATCACTCTATGACATTCCTACAATGATGAAGTCACTTAACGAGGCATTTCTCAGAATGACCCGGGTTGCTAGGCAATCCATAACTGGGTTAGAGGGAACAGGAAATATTTCTCAAAGAAAACTATAATGGGATGTAAGGTAAAATTGGCCAGGCCTAGACTGGCAGGACAGTAACCAGAACCACTCGTGCAGATGCTTCAGGGGCAAGAGAGAACGTGATAACCCCTCAAGTTATCCCTGGAGCTAGTGGTCAAAAGGAGAAAGAGAAAAAGATGGAATGGGAGAGGAAAAGGAAAACTAGGTCATGAAGTAAAAAGGAAATCAGTGTTTTCAAATAATTAGTAGTGGGAGAAAACACATGTACATGCCCAGAGAGGCCTGGGTGTTTTTGGGTGTGCCCTGCACCATATCCGGGTAAAGGAAAGTGTGCAGTGCTTCACAGATGTTCATCGTAGTGGGCTGCAGTTAGTAACATCTATTGTCTAGAACATTGTTTTCTAATGGTGGGTTCCCATCCTCTGCGGGAAATAAGATAAATTTAGATGGACAGGAACATTTTGGGGGAAAAAATGAAATACATTATAATATGGTGCAATAGTATAAAATGGGCTAGGATGCAATATATCCTACAGATGCATAGATTAAAATAAATTACAAAGTGCTGTTTATAATAAGGACATGTATTGCTTTCCTTGTGCACATGTCTATGACCAATTACAGTGCTTCTGGATTATGTCAAAAAGACTAGAGACAACATATATGTTGTCTGTTGCTGTGAGATGTGGCAATATGTGAGTGACACCAGATATGAAGAAATGCTCATTAGAATATGAGGACAACACACCCTCCTGGAGAAGCTACCTGTGGTCAAGGGAGCAGGTTAGGGATGAATAAACAATCAGGAAAGGATCCCTCAGAAACTAAAAATTATCAGAAGGCAAACTAGACTGAAATTCACAGAGAGCTCTGCTGCTACTTTGTTTTGCTAGTTTTTGTGTACTATCCAATGCTTTCAATTAAATGAAAGATTAAGCAATGCATAAGATTAAGTAATACAGAAGTTTAAAGAAAAAAATTTCATCAAGAATCCCTAAAAGCAGAGGTTGGCAAACTTTTTCTGTAAGGTACCAGGTAGTAAATATTTCTGGACCATCTGTCATGACTCAATTATTCAGTTGTAGCATGAAAGCAAATTTACAAAGCAAATGAGTAAACAAATGGACATAAATATGTTCCAATAAAATTGATTTACAAAAACAGTTGGTAAGCCAGGTTTGGGCAGAAAGCTAAGTTTGCCAAGCTCTACATTAAAGCCTTAATGACACTCTGGAAGTAAAATAGAGGATAAAGACTGTGTCTAATCACAGAGTTGACTCTTGACAGACCTATATCCAACTTTTAGATAGCTGTATCTTTTCGTAGATTCAATTAGTGCAATAATATAATAGATACACATATATGTACATATGCATACATACAAATATACAATAGCTTCTATATACAAATAAACATATGTATATGTATACATATGTGTGTATATATACAATTGCACCAATTGAATCTACAAAAGATAATAGCATATTATTAGCCTTCCTCTTGATTTTCATAAGCATCAGCATTATATTACTATGATTACTTATTATGACAATTCCTATTTTACAGCTGAAAGTTGAGATTTTATGTCTTTCAATTGCTTTTACATGTCATTCATTGTAATGAATGGAACAGAATTTACACACAATCCTTTGACTTTGTATGAATTAGAAAGTCCCGAATCTAAATTTTCCCTTTGTTACTGACTGACTAAATTTCCTAGACAAAAAGGTGGGTCTTCTGTGTTACTAACTCTTCACATGGACTAAAATTTTCAAAATGCTGCCAGTGATCGATGTGGGAAGAGGCAGAGATTCTGACACAAGAAAATGCTTTATTTGCTGTGAGGCCAGCTTCAAAGAGATGAGAGTCTTATACGACTTTCCATTTCTTCACCCAATACACACACACACACACACACACACACACACACATGCTGTACCCCAGGACACTAGAAACAAGTAGCAAAACCTAAAGTATGGGGCAAGAGTCTGGAAGGAAGCTAGAGAATACCAGGCCCAAGTGGCCTTGGTAGCCATGGCCTCTAACTTCACAGGTCTCCTTCATCGGCCCTTGAAAGAAACAAGCACAGAGGCAGGAAGTCCTCCACCAGATTTCAACGAAGTCGAAGAACAGACCAGAGTCTGAGTCCTGTAAGAGGGAAAGGCTGCACAGACCTTCCACAAGAGATGGGGTGGCATTAGCGGAGCAGGGCAGTGTGTCGCTGATCCCATAAGCCTGGGACACAGTGCCCCATGTCCCCAGCAGAGGGGTCACTATGTGGTCACAGGGAGATACACCCCGGGCAGTCTGCCAGCATTTCCCACACCCTCGGTGTCATGGTTTTATGAGCGCATGTCTTGACACTGAAGCAGGTAACAACATGTTGGGGGGGAGGGGACTGTGGGTGGGGGGCATGGAAACCTCTGGTCTTTACTTTGTACCCCCCAAGGCAAACTCTTATTACCTGACATCCAGATGCACTCTGCTGCTTTGCAACTTCGAAGGTTAGTGAAGAGATCCCTCATCTAAATTTCAATAAATATTGTTACTCTTTGTTTCTCCCCTCAGAGGTAACTAATAACGTATTGGCCAGACATTGTAATCCACCTCTGTAGAGAATCTTGAACTTTTTTTTAATTAATATTTTATTTTATATAATTCTTACATCATTTTTAATTTTTGCCCAATGTATGCATTTTCATTTTGGTTATATTCCCCATACAATTGCACACCCCCCCCCCTTATTTTGACCCTAATCCTACCTCTCTCCATCCCTCCCCCGCCCCCCAGTGTGTCTCTGGTTTATAGTTGCTTGTTGATTTTGATTTTTACTTGTATTAATTAGTCTTTTTCCTGGTCTCTTATTTAGGTTTTCTAAATCTCTGCTATGAGTGAGACCATCCGGTATTTTTCTTTTTCTTTCTGGCTTGTTTCACTGAGCATGATCCTTGCATTTTTATTCACAAAGTGACGCAATTCTTGTCAATAGTTGAATAGGAATTTTAAACAGTGTTCAAAACGCAGATCACCTCACAAACTCACCTTTTAAAATAACACAGCAAGTGAATTTTGCTCAGCTACTCACAAACCCCAGCGTCTGCCATTAAGGCAGGCTAATTACATACCAAGAGGACCATAGAAAGAAAGTAAGCTCATTCCCATCTTGTCTCTAATTTCCTGCTCTATTCATGCCTCCTCCAACCCCAAAATTTCTCTTGCTGTCTCTCAGGAAAAAAAAAATTAAAAACCAGGGGGAAATAAGTGGTTTTCATCATTTCAGAAGAAAGGGAGAAAACAGAAAGCCTCTAGTGTAGACTGAAACCCCTCCTCCGTTTGGCACCTCTCTTTAAACACAGTGGGCAAGAAGGGATGATTAAAATATCTCCCCTGCTGTGCCCCCAGCGTTCATGATGTAAAAGTCAATTGGAGAGTCAGGCTAAGGTGTGGAGTTGATGGTTGGAAACATTTGCAAAGGGCCTGAGGGCAGTGGAAGAAATCCGGAGACTTTAAGGGCTGATGATGGCAAATGCCATCTGGCAGAAAGAAGAGGGAGAGAAGCCAGGAAAGTGGGGTGTGCTGGAGGGAAGGAGGGCTCAGCATGGAGAATCTAAGACCCCCACCATCCTCCTGCTCCAGTGACTCTCCGGAGCCCCTAGTGACCCTTGTCACCCTAACCTGTGTCTTTGCTAAAGACACAGAGGCCAGGGGGCACTCTAAGACTGCAGGACTTGGGCCTACAAAATGTCACTTACGCAGCTTCGAGCTCTTTCCACATATTCCAGTCAGCATTCCCCAGGGCAACACAACCAAGTTCAGACATGAAACCAACTTCTCCAAGAATAAAGGAGAAAATTGAGCAAACCCAGACCAGACCAGACCCAATTGTCACTCATCAGACATGGATAAACATACATTTCCCTGGTGTGAATGTTCTTTTTTCACTCTACCCTCTGTAGACCTCTAAAGCACTTTCCAGGCTAGTGGGAGGCTTTATAAAGCTCTTTAAAATAAAGCTATAATTCCAGAAGAGCTTGACTTAATACTTGTCAAAGAATCGATCTGACTTTGCTTATCAATAGCTATAGAGACTTTGCTACTCGTATGCTAGCTTTGGAAGCCCGGCCACACACTGTAGGGCTAAATCATCTGGAAAACCACAGCGACTAAATGTCAGGTTGCCTGTTAACCACCTCTGCTCTAACCCTCACTGATATAAATAGTCCTTTGCTTCTTCTCCTCTGTCATACCTCGTAAGAGGGCCTCTGAGAAGCCCATTCTCTAGTTCAGTTTCATTAAGTGCAAAAACACTAGCAGAGATGTCCAAGGAATAAATCATTGTAGAAGACAAGTATAGTGCAGACATTCTAAAGTTTGGCTCTACCTAGCTTTGGCTATTTGGAAATCTCTGATTCTGAGTAAGTTTATCGAATATTCAAAAGTGCCTGCTGTTACTAAGAACACCACCACGAACTCAGGGCTCTCGCTATTGTGACTAAAGAGTGCAGGCATCATTTGCTGATCATGAAAATAGAGAGTGTCTAACACCAACCTATTGGGGAGTCATTCTTACCACTACATTGTGATCTCCAGCTTTATTTTGCTGACCTGTCAGAAACATACAATTTGTCACCAGGGTATTGGCTCATTTGTTTTCAAAGAAGGTTAGAAAATCCTACTTGTAAATATCCATTCAATCAGCAAGTCACACGTATTTTTTCAGTATCATTCTGATGTTCAAGGGTAGAAAGGCCAGACAGAAGCAATCAAAACATATTCAGTACACAAGTTCTCTTTTTTGAATCTCAGGATTTGTTGAGTATTAGGCATTTCTAACATGAGGTCACGAATAAAGCTGATTCTCCCATAGCCAGTTGATAGAGACTGCCACCCACTTCACCTTAATGCCAGAGATCACTCTACGACAACCTGAGAGAACAAAGATTGGACAGGGGGCCTGGCAAGGCCTTCAGGGAAATGCAGGAGGCTGTGGTTTTACCAAGCAAGAGCTGTTTTACTGCCAGGGGCCTGGATGCTCCAGAAGAAGGTGTCCCTTTGAGGGCCTGTAAGAGGCAGCACCCTCCAGCTGCAGGGGCCACGAGTTCCTAAAATGGGCAAAATAATCCAACATGCTTACGAATGACACTTACCTCTTCGCACTGCAGTTCTGCAACCTCCACTGCTTGGCTCCAGTCGCAAGACTCATCACTCCTCCCATCTCCAACTTCTGCCAGGGTCAGAAGAAATTCCTCATTGGCTCACCCGAGGGAGCGGTTGGTGACAGCAACAGCAACAGGAGCAGCAATAGCAATGCCTGAAAGTCCCTCCCTCTCCCAGATTAAACCAGGCAAGAAATCATGGCAGGAACACCAGATGGGCTTCCCTGTCCTGTTCAGTAAGGCCTAGGCCCCCCTCTGCTCGACAGGAAGCAGGGAGCAGTGCCACTGCCTTTTTACTCCTCCTACAACTTAAGCATGAGGAAGCAAAGCCAACAAACCCCAGAACAAAAAATTCTAAAGACTCTCACTTTCCCATCTAAACTGTGTGTCCCTGGAATGGGGCAGGTTGAAGGTGGGGTCAGAAATGAGAGCCAAGAGAACAGAAGAGAGAGGAGATAAACATGGGACAGCATCAGAGCCAAGAGGGCCCAAGACCAGCCAAGTGGAGAACGTCAACCAGCCTGTTCCCTTCCAGGACTGGGGTGGAATGCCCGGGCTTTATCCCTCCCAAGACGGTCATTATCTAGGGTTCAAGTGGTGTCCCTGAAGGATGAAGTGACTCAAGTCCCAGATCTCATAATCAGCTTGCAACAGAGATGGGTTTTGCCAATGACAAATGGCAGGAAGGAATGCTGGAGAAAATACAGCCGCACAGGGCAGAGACCATGTGATTGGCACTGAGCGTCAGGCTGTCTTCCAGGAAGTGCACTTTGGATGGTGCATTGAGAAAGTCCAGCTCCTCACCTTGGTCCCAGGTGACCTTTGGCAAGCTCTTTAGCCCATGTCTTACTTTGCTTATTTGAAAAACGCAGTGAAATTTTGTTGAAAAACTCAGTGAAATCTAGGGTTGAGTGCATTATAGATAATATAGTACACATTTAACAAATGCAGTTATTATATTTATTATTAGTTATAGTTTGGAACAGTCTTGGAAATTGCAGATGTGTGAGAACTCCACCTATAATATTCTTGTATGCATATGTTACTTCTTCCTCGAGTCTCACCATTTCATTCTTCTTCTGTATTATCATGAGCTCAGAGAAAGCACTCTTTCCTGATGATATACTTTTATACATTTTAGTGAATGTCCACTTTTTATACCTAATTTCATGGTATTCCTACAAGACAAGTTCTTATTGAGCACAGAAAGAAAACCACATCATTTTCATCTTTAATACTCAAAAACAAATCTGATGAGATTTGGAAACGTATGTACTTAATGAATGGTGTCCAAATAATATTTTTGGTTGCTCGTGGTGATAAACATCCTTCATAAACTCCAAGACATTTCCCAAATTATTTTTTGGAAAAAGACTCTTGACTTTTGCGTTGCCCCAATATCTATACGGGAAATCAAAACCCTACCTACCTCGCAACACTGCTGTTCTTGACCTTTGTTATTAAATACAGTCCTGGCCTAGTGACCGTGAAGTGTGGAGGTGCAGGGTCTCTGCGCTAAAACAACGAGATGCTCTGCTTGTATTACATAAAGCCAGCTAAATTCCTTGATTCACAGAACCATTTCTATTATTTATTTCCATATATCTTGATTGGGGGACACGCAGTCTTCATCTTACCGACTGCCTTGGCTGAGTGGGTCAAGGTAGGATAGAAAGCATAAGAGATCTGACATGACATAGGCTAGCAGGAGGTCACAAATTTAGTCCTTGAAAGAAACAGCACCCATACACCCCCCCACACCCACCCCTAAGGATACAGGTAAACTAAGGCTAGACCTAAGAAATAATGCCACTTGCAGCCTTGTGCCTCGTCTGCTCTCCCCTCTCATCTGAATACCCAGCATCTCCAAATCTCCTTTCTGTATTTGATTCCTCCCCCACCAACAAAAAAAGCAGTGATACCTGCCATAGTTTCTTAATCTGAATCAGTTCATCAGCATCACTAAGAACATGTGCTTGATCTTCCCTCTTGTTTTGGAGGAAAAGGTTTGCCTCTCCTTAACGGAGCCCAACATCAGAAATAAGTGGAAGAGTAAGAGAGTCAGGCAGTACCAGGAACATCAAGAAAAGCTGGAGTTCATTGAAATTCACCATGACGAGGGGCAGTGACTTTGAGGGAATACATGATGGGGACCTTGCACAACTCTCCTGAAGATTAAAACAGCGGGTAGGAGAGGAGACAAAGAGGATTAGGCAGCAAGGCCAACCCAGCATGAACACAGACTGATAGAATTTGGGGACACAGTGACAGTGGAACTGAACATGCAGCCCCTGAAGTGGAAGTTTCCAGAGATAACATATCTTTATATTGAATAAGTTGCCTGAAAAAAAAAAAACATGGCGCTCATACCAGGGATAGTGGCAGGTACACCAGGATAAACCTCATTTGGAAGAATGAGTTCCCAAGATGTCTTTGTTATAAATAACAAACAATATGAATAAAAATAGGGTTATTCTGGCCACAAGAGGGTCTTGCGCCTGCTGTAGTGCTTTGGAAAACAAGTACCAAAGGACAAGAACTAAACAAAAAATTAAAACACTTGACTGCACAGAATTGAATTCTCTCTACCAGGCTTGTCCATGACCCTGAACCTCATTTTCTGCCCTGACATTTGCATTGCTGAATCTGTTACAGGGCAGGGAGAGGGGCAGCCCAAACCCCACAAACCTGCCTATTCTAAATGGGTTCTGCCATCCGCCACATCAACACAAAACATATGAGACTTTAATGGGAAGGAACTTTAATACAACTAGGAAACAATACAGGAAAGGCAAAGAATCCAGTTTTTAAATCAAGCACCCAAAGTTCCCCGTCCCCTCGTGGGTAAAAGTCCATTCAAGCAGAATCGGCCCAGAGCAAGGCCCCAAAGCCTGCCCCAAGTCTAAAGCATCTTCCAGTGGGGACCCAAAGAAAAGGGTCAGAAACAACCAGACAAGCCTGGAAGGAAAAGAGCAAAATCAACATAAAGATAAAAGCTGCCATTGTCACCTCCCCTCGGGTCTCACCCACATCTGTGTCACCCCGTCCACGACCAAAAGGCAAGCGCAGTTTCTTCACGTGTCTCTCCATTCCATGTACCTCCTCCAGGTCTCCTCCTGACTCCATCCTGCTTCCTTCCTTCTCAGTCTCCTCTGCAGCTTCTTCTCTCCCTGCTCAGCTCCACCCTCCCCTGGTGGGGCAGGGAACCTGGAACCTCCCCCTTTCCTGGGGACCACCCTGTTACAAATTAGCAAATTATAAATATTGATTTTATAAAACAAGCCAAAAATCACAGAAAAATGAAGACTATAAAGGAGAGAAATGAAAGAAAACTCAAATGATGAGATATATCATGTTCATGGATTAGGAAACTAAACACGGTAAAGATGTCCATTCCTCAAAGTAGTTTGCCTATTTTTTGTTACTCCAACCAAATTCCAAAATTAAAGCTGACCTGAAGTCTATGCTATAATTTTGCTGTTTTAGTCCTATGGACGTATTCAACAGAAAGGTCTACTTATGTGAACCAAACGAACCACATGTTCTCTGCTTCCCTCGTTTCTGCCCTAAATATTTAGTGCCAAATCCTGCAAATTCAGAGAGTTTATCTCTTTCAAATTCAGGGATGTAGAAGCAAAAACCAAATTTTGAGACTATTGTCACTATTATGAGCCCAGAAAGTCCACTGAGAAGTTTCAGTGCACCACACGTGCGTCCTTTCTTCATCAAGGCGGGGGGCACAGAGCCACAAGGGAGGGCATAGACATCAAGGGGGATGGAACCCTCACGATTGTCTCAAAATAAAATCTGCTCCATTCAAAATGTAAAAAACGAAACCAACTGCAAACTACACAATATAAAGTCATTATTGATATAACTCTTGCTGAGAACTAGAGATGAATACAGTACTGTTCTTAAGAGTTATTTTGTAGAGAATTCTTATTGACACAGAAATGTGTCTGAAATACAAGTACAAAAAGCACATTTAACATGGTGTTTGCAATGTGGTGTATTTTTAGATAGAAATTTGAATATATGCATAGATATACATGGGCAAAACTTGGAAGGTTGTTAGTATAATTTTACAAGAGTTAGAGTTAAGAGAAGAATTACTAATGAGTTTTTATTTCTTATGAATATCTGTGATTTCTTATGTTTATACCCCTGAATAAATTTTGTAAATATGTCTCTTCACATTTATAATAGATTGCAGAAGGTGTATCCTATTTAGTTAATTATTGTTGACATCTGCTGCCAATATTTTTTTCAGAACAAAACTTCTCACTTTAGAAACATGCACACTGAGGTTCCTCCCCAGAGGTCCAGTTCAAGAATATAATTACAATTCAGCAAAGAATCTTTATCCCAAGCAGGCGACAGTCAGTATCACAGCGTGTGCACCCTTCCCTACCTTTTGTGCTCTCTCCAGGGGAAGGACTTTAGGTCCTGCCAGAATAAACAGTGAGGCCAACAGCATAGCAATGCAGCCCAGTGGCTAACAGAGTCATCATAGGAAAAACGTCGATGCCAGTGTTTGGGGGTTACACTTGAGAGAGAGAGGACTTACATTGTCTCTGAAACATCTCCTCAAATGTTAATTTATTAACCACAACAGTATAAAAAAGCAAGCTGACCTTGGAGAAACATCACAGTCGCCAAATTACCCAACTTATCAAGATAAACGTCACCAGCAAGAAGACATCATGGTCTTGAGCCATGAGCATTCTTTGGATTTTCTCTCCACAAATGCATAACCTCACCCCAAGTAGGGGACTAGATCAGACAAATCCTAATTAATTGATGATTCTGTAAAATAATGCACCCGTACCCTTCAAAACTGCCAAGTTACAAAGTACAAGGAAAGACCAAGGAATATTTATAGACTGGAGGAGACTAAGAAGAAATAATAATTAAATGAAGTGTGAACCCCTGGATATGATCCCAGAACTGAAAGTGGATATTGGTGGAAAAATCAGTAATATTCAAATAAGGTTTTTCATTTAATTGATAAACTGAACCACTGTTGTCTTTATCCTCTCTCTCTGTAGCATGATTATCTAAGATGTTGACAGTACGAAGAACGGAGTGAGAGGTATGACGTCTTTGTATTATGTACACAACTCTTCCATAAAACTAACATTCATTGAAAAATTAAAGTATTTTTAATGAAGCGCTTAGAACATGATAAAAAGAAAATGAAATATCAGATAATTTTGTGACCCTATCATCAGCCAGATACTATTCTAGACATAGTCATGATGAGGCAGCTAAACTGTCCACTATCTCGTTTATTGAATAAATATGTATGCACTAGAAAAAATAAAGAGAAGTGGAGCTTTTAAATGCAAACTCAAAGAAATTTGATGAATAGAAATTTAACAAATATGCATCATACCCGATGACAGTAGCCCATAAATTTCTTTTAGTAGGATTCCAGATAACATTTACAAATTAAGTATCGTACACCTACGGAACCCTTAGCTCCTTCCTGCAATCAAGTCTGTCACCTAGTGATGGGATACAGAACTGCAGAGGACATCTGCAGCCTCCAAACTAGTGTTGACACAAAAAGTTAGGGAATAAATCAAGGATTTTAAAGAGCCGTGGCAAAAGCAGTCTTAAAACCTGGGACTCCAAATTGCCATCTAACCCCACCTCCAACTTCTCCAAGTTACGTTAAACAATAACACAGAAGACAGGGCAAGCTCTCCGAAGCCAAGAAGCTTAGGCTCAAATCTTGGCTCTACAACCAACAATGTGACCTTTAACAAGTTATCTTCATCCTCTGAGTCTCAGCCCCAGTAAGTGAGTGACATCAGATTAGAGTTATGGGGACCTAACTTGGTAGAAGCTGCTTCAGGGGTCAGTTCAAATAGACTCCGCACCATCCCTGAACAAGGCCAAGGCAGCCTGACTCAAGAAGGATGGATTAAGATTCCTTCAGGGCTGGCCAGAGATTCCAACACAACCCGCCACCCCAAATGATGAAATTCCTCCCCAAGCCAAATCCAAAGGTCCTTTGGACAGGAGGAGCAGCTCCTGGGACTCGGGGAGACCTGACCCAGTGCAGGTCCGGATGCCATGTATGCCTTTGATGGACCTGTTCGTAGTTACAGGTTTCACCGCTGTTGTGTGACGCCAGGAGAGTGATGTGGACTGAGACAGTGAGGAAGTGGAGAATGGGGAACCCCAGGGAGAACTGGGGAGACTAGTGAAGTAAGGGAGTGGGATTCCAAAGGAGCCACAATAGCCAGTGAGATCTAAGACAGAAAGAGATTATTAGTTTCATGTAGCCTGGAGACACAAGATCTACAGGGACATTCAAAGGTTTAATTAACAGAAAGCAGTATTTTAAAAATAGACAAATATGCACATTGCATATAGAATCTAGAAACACTGCCAAATCTCATACTGGTTTTATTGCTTCTTAACAAAGGGTCTTTTCAACACTGATGGTCAAAAATGCTTGGGACCAGATAGGAAAATTCTTGGCACGATCACAGCAGAGCTGCTGCAGGTAACTATGACTCATACCCACATGACCAGAGAATTCCATCACCCAGTGAAGCCACTGACGCTACGGTTGGATTCTGAACTTCCCAGAGATGCTATCTACCCATAACCCAAATAAACCATGAACCGGCATTTTATCCCCACCTCTAAGCTATTCTACTCCTGTCAAAGGGATTATTAATATGGCAAACATCCTTTGTGCTGTCTTTCACGTCGTAGTTCATAATGCATCTTTCCCATCATAAAGATGGCCATTTGGAACCCCACGTGACCTTTCCAGAATGTATGTCTTGTTCTGACTCTCATGAAGTCATGGATGTGAGACTCACCCTCCTGTGGTAAATTACTATAAAACTGGACAAAGTACAGGTCACCCAAGGCCACAGTCTTGGGAGAAGGAATCCCTTTTAGTGAGACGTCCCAGCTCTCTGCACCCTTGCAGAAAGCTTTGTTCCTGCTGGGCAGAGGACAGAGGTCAGCATTAAGGTTTTGAACTAGAATTTGGGGGCAAGATGCAGACAGGAGGGAGCTGAACAGAGAGGGTGGCCAGAAAGCATGACCAGAAAGCTAAACGTGAGTCTCCTTGAGTCCTGGGTCAGACATATCTGCCCACTTGAGTGGGTATCCACCCTACCTACACCCTTCCTGGCAGAAAACAGTCATCAGGAACTGAGTCAAATGAGGATTCCAGAGGATGCAAAGGACTGAAAATATTGGTATTCTGACCAGTAGAGGGGAGAGACCTCCAGAACAGGCATTCGATAGAAATTTCAGTGAGACTTTGTCTGAGGACTCAAAAGCTATTTCAGCCCAAAACAGAGATTCACAAACATTTTCAGTAATGGGCCCAGTAACAGATGTTGTTGGCTTTGTGAGCCAGAAGCAAGACACTTAACTGCTTGTCCTGTCCCTCCCTATAAATCTGATGGAAAACATTCACCAATAACTCCATAAAATTCACTAAATTTCAACCAAGAGGAAGAGATCCTTCCAGAAAGATAAGGAGTTTAAGTTAGGGCTGAGTGAGGGATGAGGGAGGACAGGAAGATTTTACCAAAATTTTCACTGTATTGTTCACTGAATTAGACACTCAAAATTTTCTTTTCATAAATCATTTAATCGCTGGAATATAGTCTTCCCAAAACTGTATTCATTTCACATATTTATTATAGCCCATACAGAATTTTGAACTAAAATTCATGTTACATTTCCACATGCAAAGCTAATTACAGTATTTAAAAATCCACCCAAAATTGGAGCTCATAAATTGGTCTTCAGAAGGTAGCGTGGTCCCCTAAGAGCCACTGATATACACAAGTGAAGAACATCTAATCCCTTAAATTTTTGTCATCGACTTGATTGATTCCCCCAGATAGCACTCAAACGAGGTTCCAAAGATAAGAGAGGCAGAAAAGCTTTTTTTTTTTTTTAAATAAATAGAACTTCTTCCATGATCACCACAATCTTGGGGTTCACCAACTCTTGGAATTATTTGGGAAAGATCCTAGACCTGTCGTGTAGATGAGCAGACTAAGGTGTGAGGTCCGCACTGTGCTCAGCCACAGGCTTGTGCCTTCACCACCTGAGGCACCGGGCCCTGCTCAACCCCATCGTTCTAGGGAGAGGTGAGCTTGCCGCAGAAGAGAATGGTGTTGGTACGAACATGCCTTATGAAGAACAGGAAGGGGTGATTCGCCATGAACTGAGCCCGGATGGGGAGTCTTTTTACCACGACGTTTTCCCCAGTGGCGGCCGCTGCCTCTGTGCCCTCTTCATTGACATCCACATAGGCCTTGTGGATGACCTTTGACAAGTACAGGCCCTTTCCTGGGGATATTCCAGAAAGGTCTGCTTTGATCTGGCTGAAGACATCTGTCATCCCCAGGGACTTGAGCAGGGAATTCAGCTCATACTTGATGTCCAGTTTGAACCGGGGGATGTGTACGTCAACTTCCCTTTCCACCATGTTAGACGTGCTGGTCCACTCGGAAAAGGTCTTCAGGTTCAGCTGTTTTTCTATCTAAGAGATGAAACACAGCTGAGTCCACCAGCCAGAACACCCACCCTGCCCTGAGCACTGTTCCTTTTCTTTCTTTTTTTAAAAAAGATTTATTTATTTATGCATACAAGAACTGGGGCACAGGCCAGAGGTGTGGGGGGTGAGAGGATTCCCCAGAGACAGAGTGGGGAACAGAACAGGCAGACTGGCTGAAATACACTGCTGAGGGGAGCAGAGGGCGAGAGAGAAGAGGTCTGCTGTGCCAGGTGGGTAGCTCCCTGGATGGCCGGGGATTGAACTTGTGCTGCAGAGGCTGCGGATTGCTTCGTAGTGCGGTGCTTAACCCCTTGTGTCACCAGGGAGGCCCCACTGTTTCCTTTCTAATTCTCAGTGTGTGTGACTCAGAGCCACCACTTCCTCTTCTAAATTTAAGACATGCACAGTCCTATCAGGAACAAAACCATAATCTTGCATCCAGCACCTCTTCCCTTTCCTGTTGCCTGTGTCTCAGCGATATTCTGTAATTAAACTTCTGAAGCATGTCCTGCCATCTTGTCCCTTCATTCTCTCAGCACATAGGTGTCCCCTATACTCCTGCTGCTTGGTCTCTATCTCCTGGATGAGTTGGCCATTGCGTCTTGATTCTCATAGCTGGAACATTTCATGGTGCTTGGCCCCCATCCCATGAATTTGTCTCTGGTGTGACTGCTGTGACTCCTGGAGCCTTGTTCCCTCTGCTGTCATCCCCTCGTGACCACCTTCCCTGTCTCTGCTGTGCTGTTTTCCCCAAACTGAACCCTGGCCTCCCTTCACTCGATGTTTGGTGTATAGGGAACAAGCAAACAAATAAGGAAATAAATCACATGCTAATGAAGAGCAGGTCTGAACAGCTTCCCAAATGTTCTGGGCCTGCAAACCTCTTCACACGGAGCCCACCCAGGGGCCTGGAGGCCGAGCCCTCCTGCCACCATGGCGGTCATTCCTCCAGCCTGCAGTGCTCATTTTCTAGTGAGGCCGGCATGTAAAATGCCAACGAGCCCGAGAAAGCATGTTCCAAGTGAATCCCACAGACCGCCTCTGAGAGGAGGGGGGCGGAATCGGATTTCTGTGCACCGGGCCCCCACTGTAGTGGAACCATTCCCACAGGAAGGTATTCCCCACGTGCATGTTTGTACGAGATGGCACTTTGGCTTCCAGCTGTTTGTTTGGTTTTTTCTTAATGCAAAAATAGATTATTCTCCAGAATACCTGGCAGGGAGCAGGTGCTCCCCTCCCCCTCCAGGCCCTGGGCATTTTTGCTAAATGTTAAGAATGAAGCAGAGACTCACTAAATCATGGGCCACAGTGTGTGCCTGTCCTCGTGTGTGCATGTGTGTGCACGCACAGGCGTGCGGGTGTGCAAGCATGCTTTCTCTGCACGCTGGCGTTCTTGTTCCTTTACCTGTTCTAGGTCAGCCGTGCCGACTGGAAGCAGAATAATCATGCTCAGTTGTTTGTTAATGTAGGGCAGCTCCAGGACTTGCATCCGAGGCTCCTTTATGAAGGCCAGTTTAAATGTTCCTGTTTGGTACATCATGTCCACAATTACGCTTTTACCCTATTTGTAAAAAAAAAAAACCAAAAAGGATATAATTGGAGGGTACAGTTCCCTGTGTTTACGCACAAGTATGTAAACTGATTTTCTTGCTTCCCGTGAACGTCTGCATTAACACTGTAAAGGCGTGGGGAAAATACCATCTGTGAAGTGCACCCTTTAACACTTTCTTCTGCAAAGCTTTTGAATTTTTTTACTTTAAAATAAGTCATTGGTAAAGTATGACATTTTGCATACATAGCTTGACTATATAGTAATATACATAATATTTATCAGAAACGTGTAGTTATATATAATAATAATAATAATAATAAATTTGTTTTCCAAAAACAAAGCCAGTGTTTCCACCTAAAATAATTTGTGTGGGAAAAATGATATCATAGAATCATTTTCTCTTTTTATTCCAAATAGAGTTTTTCTGGGGGAGAAATCATGCAGATTGCTTTGTAGTGCTGCCAGAGAAAATCGCCACAGCATAGATGGAGAGAATGGACAGGTGCAGAACAGTGAGGAAAGGACAGGACACCCACTCTGAAGGGCAGCTGGTGTCTGAAGCCTCAGCAGGTCCTCTATGAGAAAGCCAACTGTCACATCATGAGGAAAATGGAGATGAATTCACAGAAATCACAATTAAAGGGACCGAGACACCTACACTGCTATTTTCAATAAAACTTCTCAACCATCCTTAAACAATTATTGCATCCTGCAAAATGTGTCATTGATCTGAAAATGAAATACTTACCTCACTTAGCTGGAAAGGAGTTTTAACTGTCTCCCTCTCTTGAAATTTATTTTGCCATTTTCCTTTGAAGTATATGGCATTCACCAACACCATCACGCACGAGGGCTCGATCGCACCCTTGGCAAAGAGGTTTCTGACTTTTCCTTGTAGCAGAAAACAATAGATGGTGCTTTTAGATAATAATGGAGTTGAGTAATGGCAAGAAATTTGGAGACACTTCCTTCACGAGGCTAATTATAAATTTGAGATGCTGCAAGACCTGTTTCCTGCCCATGTCAAATGTTTGCATTGATGACTTTATAATGATACCTTCCCAGGAAAACTCACTGGCTGCAATTGGAGAGTGCTGGCTGAGGGGTGGAGGGGGTGGGGGTAGAGTGGGGGGTAAGGGGTGAGGGATGGAGGATGGGGGTGGGGGGTAGAGGGACATTATATTAAAATCTAGTATCGAAGAGAAAGAATTCAGCATGATTTTTTATCTTTGACTTTTTTCGTATGAATTGTACTTTAGGGTAACTGAATGCTTTATGAGGCAAAGTTTCTCACATAGAAATATTCTAGCATATAAATAAAAAAGGAATGCAAGAATTGAAACACTGTGATTTTATAGCCCATCATGAAATAATTGACCCACGCATTACTCCTCAATGGTCACTAACATCAAAACATTAAAAAACAGAGAAGGGGCCAAATGTTATTTACTTTCTGCTGAAAATACAACATCCCCAATGAAGTATATTTGCCAAAAGTAAAATCAAAACAAAACAAACCTGAATCTTATCAAAATATATCAATTGTGTCAAAATGTTTCTAGCAACACTGTTCATAATAGACCCAAACTCAAAATATTCCAAATGTTCATTAAAAAAAACCAAACATTAAAATGGGTTACTATAGGTATATTCAGAGAGCAAAACAGACATCAATGAAACTGAATAAATCACGCAGCAGGGAACCACACGGGCAAACCTCAAAACCAAAACATTGGCCTAAAAAAATCTAAACTTGCTTTATGATTCTAACTAAATGGAATTGTTTTAAATAGGTAGAACAAATTAATAGTATAACTCAGAGACATCTTAAAGTTTGGGTGAGGTGGGCTAGTTTCCCGAAGGAAAAATCTGAAGGCTTGAAGTGTGCCCCGCCCAGTTACTAATATTTTCTTTTCCGGACCTGGATGGTGTTACACGAGTGAGTGAGTTCACTCTTGTGATAATTTCTGCCTTGTGACAATTTGTCAAAAAGCAAGCAAATAATGCATGAATTTTTATAAGTATGTATACTTCAATCAAAACATTTATTTTAAAAATGAAGATTTAAGGGAGCTATCAACCAATTACAATACGTAAATATTTGTATCCTGACTCAAATGAAAAACAATTAGGGAAATTAGAAAATTCACTGGATGTTTGTGAATAGTAAATGATTGTTTTTAATTTTGAGATGTTATCATGATTTAGCAGTTTATTCCTTTTAAATAACCTGTATGTTTGACAGAAACAGCCTGAAACATATACAGGAAGAAAGATGTGATATCTGGAATTTGCTCCAAAACAGTCTGGAAGTGGTGGGAAAAGGACAAACATTTAGATACAAGATTAATCTTAAGTAACAAATACTGCAGGTGAGTGGTGACGAAATAAGAATCTATTAGTCTCTCTACATTTTTTTCCCCAACTTTCTTAATGAGTTGCTTTTAATAACAAAGTGATCACTTCTAGGCCTTTTGGTTGAGATCAAGTGTTTAATAACAAAGCATCTATGCCCTTGGTATCAAATATTAAATCTGGCATTTTTAAAATAAATATTTAGTTAATACATAGGGTTTATCTTAAGATTGCAAAAGGTAGATTTAAATTTAATCAAATTTAATTGCGGAATGTACCGCACGTCTATAAATAAAAATAATGTCCTTTTCATTCTCAGTCACTTGGCTTATATTACGAAAGACATGTGATTGTAAAGATATGTGATTTTCCTCACTGTTGCTCTCCCAGTGCCAGAGTCAGACCTCTCCCAGCCTCTGCTAATGCTGATTCAGGAAGTTTACCAACAGCCCCGCCAGAGTCTGCAGACACATGAGTGAATCCCTTGTTCTTACCATTAGTTTTACTTTCAACCCAAGCATTAATAATTTTCCTGGTTTCTTCTGTAGCCTGTTTAAAATCAACGGTTTGCAGTCTGGCTTGATAAAGTTTCTCAGAACAGTTTAAATATTGCTGTAAAAGAAAACACAAAAATAGTATAGGAAAATAAAAGCCTCCAGCTCGAGGTATCTAAAGTCCTGACCTGCAGGCGAAAGCAGGTCAGGTATATGCATCTGAAAGGAAGCAGAATTCGCCAATGCTTGCTTTTAATAAGAAAAATCAATTAAAGCAAATCAGAAGGCTTTCCACATAGATCCTCAGAAATGTCTGGTTTTCTTTCCTTCATCTCCTTGGCATTCTTATCTAAAACACTTTGTTTAGAAAAAAGACAAACTGCATTATAGTCCATTCCTTTTCATTCTCCCTCTTCAAAGCAGATAAACAGGAGTTGCTGCGTTGATCTAGACAGGAAAACAGTCAGAGCGGTTACGGGACTGCTTGTTTGAGGTGCAGGAGAAGGTAAGTCTCCCTGTGGTAGGTATCGCCCTCCCCCCAAGCACTAGATATAAAATTAATAATAGTAATGGCTGATGCAGACAGTTGACATGTTTCAACTTTCTGTAGAATGTGAACATAACATCTTAAAGAATTCACTGTTTTGTTCACCTATAACATGTTGTCCAAGTAAAAACAATGTGCAAATTCAGCTGAAAAAACCTAACCCTCTCTTTGAACTAACTTTCCACTCCCAAACTGGTTCCTTTTACCATCTTGGAGTCACCTCCTATTACCTCCCTTGATTCCTAGACCTGGGTGCTTCCGAGTGCCTCTCTGCCAAGGCAGCCATCAGCTCTCTGTGAGCCCAGTGATATGACCCATTCTCAAGAGCGAGGGGACACAGCTCTCAGCCCACAGGAGCTGATGCTCCACCACAAACTGCCGGGGATGATAGAAGGCATAGGAGTATGGCAAGGACAGAAGTGGCTGCCAGGTCTGGCCTGCCATTTCCGCAATGGGTTTGTTGGTGCGTAAACCCAATGCAGAACAAAAGGAAACCCAAGAGCAAAATGTGGACCTTAAGATGATTCTTGTCCTGAGCCGGATCCCACTGTGTCTGACGCATGCTTAAGTGACTCCTCTACCCCATGAGATGGGCAATTTTTCCAGAAAGAACCCAGTGATAATAAACCAAATCATGACAATCCCCACAATGCTAATGAGGAGCTTCTGACTTCTAAGCAGATGCAATCATTAGTCTCCAGCCACTGTGAGAATCTCCTCTCATGTCCACAACACTGCTTTGGGAAGACAAAGGGATGTAAGAATGTTCCAGCTCCACATTGTTCCGCCACTCCCGCCCCCAGCAGGCTCTCTCCACAAAACTCCCTACATGATTCTTGGGCAGAGAAGGAATCACCTGTGAAATATCTGGTATCAGGGTGGGTTTCCCAAAGTTGAATACATTCTAACAATCAAACGCTTGTCTTCTACAGGATACAGTCAGCACTTCTAGGCTAGCAGAGAATATTAGTAATTCAGGGTTTCATCCTCCATGACCTGGCTGGTATTTAAATAACTTTGATCAAACAAAAGTTATGCCACTGATGCTACAGCATACACCTCAGTCACAGAAGAATGATGCAGCAATTAAAATCAGAATGATGAGTTTGGATAAAGATCAATCTAGGCTTTGCCACTTAACTCTCTGTCTTTTGTCAACTTGACTTTTCAGAATTGATTCCACAATTGTAGAATTAATGGTAATTTTATAGCTGTAACCTAGCACTACATGAGGACTGTGTGAGAAAATGCCCGTATTGTAGGAAGTAGAAAGACTGTGCATAGTAGTAAACACTCAGACGATGTATTATAATGCTGATGGAAAATGGCACAGGGGAGCTAGAATGAACTTTGTCTAAAATTCATTTTAATTATAGCAATGACTTGTCTGAATTCCTGTGTCTTAGCTTTACACAGCTCACATCTCTCAGCTCAAAGAGTGGTGTATGCGTCACTAACCCTTGATTCTCTGCCACTAAGGACCACTGAAAATAAGATGAGAAATGTATTTCATTTTTCTTCTGGTCCATATGGACTATTTCTAACCTTTGTTTTGTACTTCATGTCTGACCTTGGTGTTTAACAATTTTGGTGATTTTTCAGAAGTAAAGCTATTATATGATATTTCACAACGCTAAGTGAGTGTGCCAAGCCATTTCATTGAAGCTCAAATCTAATCTCTTGATGATAAATGCCTTGTGACTGTTCTCACTCTTCATATGAAGTTCAAAGGATGACAAGGAAGCTGTTGCCCACCTGGCCAGGGGATTTACCTGATGGAAGGCCTTTGCCTTTGTCCCGTAGAGTCGGTTGGCGATGCTGAGGGTATAGTTAGAGTCTGGCTGGTTGAGTTGAGAGAATAGGACTCCCAACTCTGGATGTATTCTTCCGGTCTGGCTGCACTGAAGGAACAGGAAACAAAGAATGGAGTATTAAATTGCCTGATTTCTTGCGATTGGAGAGTTATAAATAATGTGAAAACAATAAATAGAGGGCTAGGTGTTTGCCTCTGCATAAAAGGGCAGTGAATACTAACAAACAAGGAGTTGAAAAGTTTAAAGCATTTCCTTCTCTAGATTTCCTCTAGCACAATAATCTCAGTTCTCTGTGACTTTGGTTACAGATTGTGTACAGAGTTGTAAGCTGTTTCAAAACACACATGCTCTCATCGCTCCAGTGATTTAATCCAAAGGCAGGAGATTTTATAAATAAAGAGATCCTTGTGACATATCCAGGGAAATAGTCCAAGTTCTGTTGCTGCCTTTGTACCTATAGAATCACTTCCCCTTCACACTTTCTCAATGTCTCCGTTTCTGTGTTACCGTTGGATCAAACACTCCCAACCTCCACTGACCTGCCTCACACACCATCTCTTCCTCGTAGAAGCAGCTTTGCTGCATCTGTGAGCTGACTGGCAAGTCATGGATGTGTTAGTGTTAAGCTCATATTCCCTAAAACAGTGGTTCCCAAAGAATGGTTTTTAATCTTTTTACAATAAACAGGGTCCTGTGAAGCAAGTATTTTGTGAATCTGTATGTCCGTATGCATTCTCTCAGTTACAAGCAAACATACAACTATTTCACCTAAGAGTTCCACATAATTTTATCTTTTATTAAATTAGTTTTTATTCTGAGACAACATTAGCTTACACACTATATTTTAGGAATCTAGACTCTATATGATTTTAATGGCAAAAAGAATCCTCTTACTAGAGAGAACTAGGAACCATAGTCCCAAAGAATGTGGGTTGGGGACTATAAGGCCCTGTTTTCCTGCGTGTAATTATATGGCAAAGCATCAGGGTCCTAGCTCAGTGCCTTCATTGAACAGAAAAACATCTAACACTGGACAGAGGAAGCTGGCAGACTTTTGTGACGTACAACCATAAAAAAAGAGAAAAGTTTGAGTAAGAATGACATTCGTTCATATAATAAAATCTGAAGGACATTTTCAATGTTACTGTGATCATTTTTATCATTATGTTAAATTCTATAGGCTGTAGCAGTTATCAGGATGATTAAAGGAGTAATCAAGGGAGACGACTAGTTCCCTCTTGGGCCAAAGGGGACGCTCTGCTGTTCAACCTAGACCATTGTTTCCTGGTGCTCCTATTTAAAGAGCATTTGATAGCTCAACAGTGATAGAGTCATACCTTAGATGAGTCCTTAAACTCTGGTTTTAATGATTCTGCAATATGATTAAAGTGAAGTACCTGGAAAATGAAAGAAGGATTAGTTGGTATCAAAAGCAATGCATTGTCTACACAGATCAGCAGTAACAAGATCTGCTTTCTCATTGCAGATCAAGACTTACAGAAATAGCCAATGTTTAACATTATATTCCCAGTCATGAACGAAGCTGTTACATACCTTACTTCCCCCTCCCAACAATTTGATGAGGAGACACTGTTATCCACATGTCCCTTTTTTATTTCTTAAATTTTATGTATTTTTTACATCATTTTTCATTTTTGCACGATGTATGCATTTTCATCTTGGTTATAGTCCCCATACAATTCCCACCGCCCTCCCTTATTTTGATCCTACTACCTCCTGCCCCCACCCCCCAAGTGTGTCTCTGGTTTATAGTTGCTTGTTGATTTTCCTAAGCTACGGAAACAACCCAAACGCCCAAAAATAGATGACTCGATCAAGAAGATGTGGAACATATACACAATGAACTATTACTCCCCCATCGAAAAAGATAAACTCATGCAATTTGCAGCAACATGGATGGAGCTGGAAAGGATCATGCTCAGTGAAATAAGCCAGAAAGAAAAAGAAAATATCAGATGGTCCCACTTATAGCAGGAATTTAGAAAACCTAAATAAGAGACCAGGAAAAAGATTAATTATAATAAAGTAAAAATCAATATCCACATATCCTTTTGGGAAAATTGAATCAGGGGAGATTAAGTGTATTGCCCCAGAATACTGTCTATTAAGTTCCAGGAATAAGGTTTTGTCTACAGGGCTCTTCTGCCCCTCTCCCGCTGTACCAGGTCATTCTCTGTGATGTGGCCATCAGGGCCTTGTCAAATAGCACATGTTTTTCCAACACAATACCTACTTTAAGTGCATGGAAACCATGAAATTGCCTCAATAGATGTAATAAAGGAAAAAAGACAAACAGAAAAAGATGTACAAGTATCCTAAGAGTTGTTAAGTGACCTTCTTCTAGACTTTCCACAACAATATACACAATGGAAAACCTCTACAGATTAGCCCCATGTAACCTGAAAAGTCACCCTCACTCTGTTGTGGGTCTCAGTTTCCCCACCTGCAAAATAAGAATAATAATCCCTACCTGTCACAGGAGATTGTTATAAAGTTTAAACATACTAATAAATATTTTTTAAAGCTTGGTAACTTTTAAAGTGTCACTCAGTCTTATTACAAGTTAATCTTCTAGAGGCAAGAAGAGTACCAAATACGTGTCTGTTGTTTTTAAATCACTGAAAGGAGGAACTTGAAAGTAAACTGCAGAGATTGGTTTATAAAAACAGTGATAACAAGGAAGAAACTGTGTCACGTCACATTAGTAAGCCATTATCCATTTTTAATAAAGATGATTTGTCTAAATGTGCTTTTTCTTCACAAGATGGCGGCATTTTCTTGGTATAAAGATGACTCACAGTGGGCGCATGTAAGACTTCTCAGCTGCATCCCATACCTTTTCGATCTGCTCCGCACAGTTTCCTCTGGCTCCCAGGAGGAGCATACTTAAAGCATAAAGCAGACTGAGTGGGGAGAAGAAGATATTGTCTCCTATATTGTTGCTGTTTAGCTCTTTAAACACATCAAGGCAAAATTCAACATTTGCGATGCTGAGGGAAGCCATTTTATGCCAAGCACCACCTGAGAATAGAAACAAAAATCTCAGAATATCGCTTAGAGGTACAAATAATATCTAGAGTTCAGTTACTATAATTCATGAATTTAAGAGTCTGAGAGCACACTGATTCATGAAAGAACACATACTAATCACAATTTCTGAGAAATTAGTCAATTTTAAAAAGAAGTCATTTTAGCGTCTGATGGACTTTTCAAGCAACACTTCAAAGCTATCTCACCATCAATGTGTACAGTTAAAAATGAACTGCAATTGTTCAGGAGCAAGAGAGCAGAAGAAACTGGATCTCTGTGCTCTCAATTTCCATGCTTTCAGACACTCCTCATGCTGGAATTTGTACAAAAATATTCTTGAGCTACACAAACTCAGCCAGACACTACTTTCCCACCAGACTCTCTACCTTCACAGCCTCATGAGGAAAACAGCTCTATTCTATTCATTTTTGCACTCACAAGGTGATAATCAATAAAGCAAACTTGGGCAACGTTCCCTGCACATTTTCATCTCCTTGGTGGGACCTCATTTCCCGGCCCCTCTGGAAAGCAAGGCAATACTAGCAAATAAATCATTCCCAGAGACCGGTCAAAGCCCTCACACCAGGGCCACAGCCATGAAGGCAGAGAAAATGGAGGACTGGCAAGGAAAATCTAAGCTTTGCATTATCTGAGGACAACCAAGAGTTTGTTTCACTCCATCCTGCAAACATTTTTTGAGCACCACTAACTGTACAGGGCCAGAGAGATGATGGAGCCTCTTGCCTGCCCTCAGGGAGGTTTTATTCTCAAGGAGACTCCATGGCTATCAAACATTGTCTTCCTTTAAATTACAGGTCATCATTCTCTCCTAGTTCACCACCTCGCACATCGGGACACTCCTCTGTCTTTTTTGCAGGAGCTAACTCACATTGTCAACCTTCATAGATCACAATACATCAGGATTCAAACCCTGGTTTCTCCTCTCTTTACACTAACACAGGTAATCTCTTCCAACCTCAAGTCATTGATATACTTTAGCTTCCAAATTTATATTGTCCCAGAATCCTAGATTCATGTAACCAACTATCTACTTTGCATCTCTACTGGAGTATCTACCAGCAAGTCCAAAAACAGAATCTTGATTTCCTAACCCTGTTTCTAGGCTGCTCCTCAATAGCTTTCTTCATCCCTATACATAACTTCTCCATTCTTCTATTGCTCAGACTAAAAACCTTGGGAACATCCTTAAATAATGTCTCATTCACATCATGAACAATCTATCCAAACACCCTGCTTTTTCTATCTTGAAAAATATTCACTTTCTGCTCAACTCTCACCTTCTCTAAATATCATCTTGATCAAAGCTCTTATCAACTTTCCCTGGACTACAGAAACAGTCACCAAGATATATTTCCCTAGTTCAGTCCTTACCTGCCTCTGATCTATATTTTTGGAGAAGATTAAGATATTTCTAAAATATCAACCCATTTTGTTTTAACTGCTTGAGAACAGCTGAAGGCCTCTGTTCCAACATTCCAGTGGCTTCCCCTTCATGGTCTGGTCCCTGATACCTATCAAACTCATTTCCCTATCAGTTTCCTGCCAGCTCACCTGGTCCAGCCATGCCCCTCCTTATAGTCTTTCAACATATCAAGTAGTTCCACTTCAGGAACTTTGCACTTCTGTTCCTATTCTGGGATGCTCTTCCTAACGATGGCCCACTCCAGCAGCTCATTCATCTCTCTCTCTGCTCAGATAGTGTCTTAACAGCCCATATCCCCCCCATTATGCTCCACCCCATTTTCCTAATTCATATAAATGTTAGACATATATAAGTACATATAAACATCCTACATACATGGATTTATTATCTGTCTCCTGCCCTTGCAGAGTATGCCCTCCAATAGAGTAAAGACTTTGTTTTACATGCTTTATTCTAGCACCTCAACTAACCTCGGTCGATGAGTAGCTACTCAATAAACATCTGTGGAAGGAAGAAATGAAGTAAGAAATGTCAGTCCAATCAGTGCTACAATATGCACGTGTAGACAGAATTCTGTGGAAGCACAGAGGAGAGACATAAAGTCAACCTAAGAGTTACATGGAATATTCCTGAAAGAGATGATGTCCCTTTTGCTTCCTGAAGAAAGAAGGGTGACCCAGGTATATGTATGTAGGAAATCTTTACTCCAAAGGGAACAGTATGAGCAGAGACTCAAAAACCTGACAGAGAAATTTTATAATACAAGAGCGTGAAATCAGAAACCAAATATTGTGGGTGGCAGAGCTGGAGGTAGGCAGGAATGTGCCTTGGAAGCCTGGCATGCCCCGCAGAGTCCATGATGGAGCTGGATCTCCATGCCACCTAGTCAACAAATCACAGGGTCTTGGTGACCTTTGTCCCCTCTCTCTCCCACTTCCTCTGGTGTCCCTCACTCTCTCCCTATCTCCCTCTTCTCTTTCCTCCTCCCTCTCTCTCTCTCTCTCTCTCTCTCTCTCTCTCCTCCTGATGTCTGATTCTCTTTTCAATGATCTCCTGGTCTCCAACAATTGCCCCATTAGCATCTTTTCTCTTTTCAGGCAACTGAATGGCCTACTGAGCATTGATCCCCTACTCTTCAGCTCTTCCTTTCCAGGGTCCTCTGTGCTAAGAGAACACAGATTTCATGACAGAGTTCCTGTACCTTGCGCCTTAGTACACGTTTTATCTCTCTCTGCACCAGCGACAGACACCCAAGGGGCCTCTTGCTCCATTACAAATAGAGTGTTGATGAGCACACTCAAGCCCCATGAGTGCCCTTACACACATTACAGATTCATGGCAGGGGTGGGGGGTGGGCTGGGGAATCCACACACTGTAAGGGCAGGAACCATGAGGGGACCACGACCCCATCTCACCTGAAGCCTTTCACTTGTCACCCTATTCTCCTGTCACTTGTCACCCCATGCTCCTGTCACTTGTCACCCTATATTATTCAGATAAGTTTTCATTTGAGATAAAATGGTTTTATTTTTATTGTACTATGACTGTTGAAAAAGGGCAGCATCTTAGCAGAATAAATCCAGAAATTTTGACCAAGATAAAACCCATGACTAGACACAGCTGGTCATGGTTAGTCGATATCAAATTATTTGCTCAATTCACAGTACGACCCTGTAACTCCTCCGGCATTTGGCTCCCAGTACCAAGAAGTTGAGTTCTAAGTATTTCTCAAAACTTTTTGGAAGTACGTAATTAGAATTAATTCATGAACTTTGGTGTTTGGAAATCTTATTTGCAGGACAGTTTTAACTGTGTCTTAAAAGGGAATACAGATCCTAAAGGATTTGCAGGGGGACAGAGGGCCAGGCTGTGCTTCTATGGGAGAAATATCCTTGGCAGTGCCAAGGATTTCAAATCACCAGCTCCTTACAACCTGGCACAGAGCCCAGGTAGCTTCTTACCCATTTCACACGACCGTTCCCTCCTGACTTAGCTTTATTAGTACCTACCTCCCCTTCTCCAGACCAGCACTACTCTTTTACTTTCACTCTGTCCTTCCAATGTACACGTCTCGTGTCTGCTCAATTTCTAGGAATAATAGAAACCTTCAGACTAATCACCCCATCAACAAACACAAACCCTGAGCCCTCACCTATTTACCACCTAACACCAAAGAGACAATTATTTTGCAAAACCCATGAGAAGAAACAGACAGCCAGGACATTAAGGGCTCCTTCCTGCACATCAAGAAATGAATGAGGACTGTAAGATTTTCTAAGACACTGAGAAGTACTTCATCACACAGAGACCACAGCTCTGGATGAAGAACTCTGCTTTGAATAACAGTTATGACCAAGTAAGTAAGTAAGAAATAAGTAGAAAATCTCAACAGTGTTCCATTTTAATAAACACATCAGAGATCTGAAATCCAGTGACCTGCCTCCAGGATTTTCAACGCTCCCTATGGCGGTTCATGCAGCAGCAAACCTGCTCACCTGCTCATCAAGGAGTCAAGAAAAGTCACTCTCAGTTAGAGAAGAAGGTGCCTCCTCACTGGACTCCCTCCTCACCTGTCCAGGCCCCGCTCTTCCCTGCTCTCTCTTCTCCTCTGACAACAAGCACCGCTGAATAATAAGCGCAGAAATCCTCTTTACCTGTGTTGCTTTCCGGCGGGCAGCGGACAGTTGGGCAGGTGAGCTGGGAGCTGTGTCCCTGAGAGGAAATATAAAGCCTTCACTTTTTGCCCCTCCCTGTGCATGTGTGTCCCGGTGATTCAGCCCTGACCCGGCAAGGAAGTCCCTCCAGAGGCCGCTCTGCTCGGCCTCCGCAGGGCCCCCAGGATGGCCAGTGTCTTTGGAGAACTTTCCCGTTTCTCTGCTTGCTTCCTGGGAAAACATTCACAAACCCACCCTCTCGGCCAGAGAAGAGGCTCTTTCTAGAAGCAACAAGTGTCCTGCTTGAAACTCCAGGCACTGCCCGTGTCCACGTGCATGGCACCGAGCCAGCCAGTGGGGCAGGGGACAGGTCCCGGCAGGGAGGGAATGCCAGCTCTGCTGCCCAGAGCGGGGGTTTTATGTGGAGTCTCGGGAATCTGTGGCAGGTAATTCCTGCCCCATCAAAGGAGCGCAAGGATGAGCTTCCCCGTGAGGCACTCTGTGGTTTCAGTTTAAAAGCTTGGTGAGAGCAACAAGCCACCCGACCTAGAGGAAGTTCGGGGCATGATTCAGGGCCAGGTAGGATTATGGATCATGGGCGGGAAGGAAAGTCAGAGACAATGTGTGGGGTGTGCGGGAGCCCCCAGGGGCTGGCATGGGCCCCAGCAGAGGAGCCCGGCTCCCCAAGGCTGCTCTGGGCCTGCGGCGCACAGCCCTGCCCCGCGCTGCTCCCACCAGCCTCGTCCTGACCCCCGGTCCCAGGCTGGTGAGGGCTGAGGGGGGAGACCTCGGTGGCCGGTGGCGCCGCTCCTCAAGGCCCCAGAGCTGGCAAAGTCAGGTCTAACATGAGAGCCCCACTAACCACTGGGCCCCCCA